TATGCTGATCGACAGGAACAAAAGGGGCCTATGATCGATTTTACAGATCACATTTGATCCATTTTACAACACGCACGCACACACACACGGCTCTCTGGCAAGCTCCCTCTCTCTCACTCTCCTCCATCGACGATCTCTCTCGAGATGCTTTCTCCACTCGAGAAAACCGACGCTTCTCTCTCTCTCTCTCTCTCTTTCTCTCGTTGTTCCGCTTCAGCAGGTACAATGTAAACTGGAGTACTCGCAGGGTACTCTGTAACGCTTCGATCACGCCGGTGGAGGAACCGTGGTTTAAGTATAATACAGAATAGTTAGTTAGTTACAAGTTATATTCGTTTATCAATCATGGCCACCTTTCACCCCTGATTTTTTTCTGTTTTCTAATCGATCGTTACAAACATGCCACAGCGTGTTTCTTACGAGTATGTGTATTATCGTGTGTGTGTTTCATTGTGTGTGTACATATACATACGATAGAAGCGTGTAAAATCTAAAAAAAGAAAAGAAAATAAAAGAAGACTGGCCCGTCTTTTCGACTCTCCCTTACAAACTACGTGTACGTTCTCCTCCGCTCTTCTTCTTCATCTTCTTCGTCGTCTCCTCTTGTTCTTCCTCGAAAAGTAGAATCCCTCGAAACTGATCCTTCCATCCGCAATCTTCTTCCCCTCTTCATATCCTTCACGTCTTCTCGTGGCGTCTCTCTCTCTTTTCCTATCTGTCGTCTTTCTCTCTCTCTCTCTGCGTGTGCATGTGTGCATGTTTATATTCTTCTCCCTAGGCTCTCCCTCTCTCTCTCTCTCTCTCTCTCATATGTATACAGCGGTATGTATAATATATATTTATAGATATCTATATACATACACGTGTCTATGTATATATATATCAGCTAGTCGAAAATTGAGGCTTCAGTGCTCGGCAGTCTATTGTCTCTCTTGGCTCTTCATCATCATCATCATCTTCTTCGTCCTTTTCCTCCGAATTCGCTATCCTTCGTGCTTGTCCCGGTTCCAAGGCGGCGTTCTCTATTCCATTCCAGCCTGTACACATCCCACTTCCGTCGTCTTTTCTCATCCGTTTCACACTCTTCTTCAGGCTGTCGATTATTCCACCGTGCGATTTCTTCGCGTGAAGCGAATACTCGTCGTCCGTCGTGTTCGCGATTTCGGAGGAGACATTTTATTCCCATTGGTGAGGAGAGGGTGGCAATTCCGAGGGATGAGCCACCGTGGAGCTGCAAGTCGTACGAACAGATCATTAGTGCTTGCCATTTTAGGGAAAATTTTTATTTTTTTTTTTTTTACTTTTTTTCGTTCGTTTCTTTTTTTCTTTATTTTACTTTTTTTTTTTTTTTTTTTTTTTTTTTTTTTGCCCTTTTTTTTTTTGTTT